AATCGTTATTAGAGTTATAAAAAATATTTCATATTTAGATTATCTTATAATATTTCCAATAAATTAATTCTCATAATTAAAAAACCCAGCACAGGGGGGTCGCGGCACAGTTGTGACGTGGTATAGATGGATCAAGTATAATGATATCTGACAGTGATTAAAATCACTATCAAAAAAAAACGCTTCGATGCAAATCTTTAGATAGTGTTTAATTTTAAAAAATTGGTGGATTATTCCAAAAGCTACATGATCTGCTAGTTCGTTATTAATATCCTAATCGAGATAAAGCATGTCAAATGAAAAAGGGATTATTAAAAAATATTATTTCTCATAAAAAAATAATGTTGATCCATACACTTTTCAATATGTCATAGCATTATAAAGTTAAAAATGTAAAAAATAAAATCGAGAATTTTCACACAATAATAGCATTCGGTAGCCATTTTCACCGTGAAGATAAAATAAAGTCCGAAATTTTTTTTTCGCATAATAAAGTAAATTACATTAGCTTTAATTTAAGATATATATAAAAGTGTCAGACTTTCCGGAACACTTTCAAAATTTAAGTTGAAAAAGTTCTACTTTCTACATGAATTTTTTAGATTTGAACCCCTCTCTTATAAAGGGAAATGGTCCAATTTAAAAAAACAGTATGTCAAATGAAAGATGTATATAAATACATAGATACATAAATACATTTATAGTACATAAATACTACTTCTCATGAAAAAATTGTACTGATCCATACATTTTTCAAAAAGTTATAGCATAATAAAGTTAAAAATGTAAAATACAAAATCGAAAATTTTCACACAAAAATAGTATTCGGTAGCCATTTTCACCGTGAAGATAAAATAAAGTCCGAAATTTTTTTTTTGCATAATAAAGAACAGTACATTAGCTTTAATTTAAGATATATATAAAAGTGTCAGACCTTCCGGAACATTTTCAAAATTTAAGTTGAAAAAGTAAATTTATTGTGAAAAAGTTGTCATTTTAAATCCCCCCCTGTGGGCAGGTATAAAAAAGAATTATATTGATATATTTATTTTTGAAAAAGTTATGGCACTTTTAAGTAAAAAAAATTGAAAAAATTTCGAAAATTAGCGATTTTTAAATTTGTAATTTTTTGGAGGTTTCCCCCATTTACGGGGAACAAGGAAAGTTTTTTCAATTTTTGAGGGTAATGTCTTCGACTAGATACAATTTGTGATCTTTTACGTATCATTGAAAGAAATCGGTTCGGTGAGAGCTGAGAAAAAGTGGTAACAGACACAAAAAAAAAAAAAAATGAACACATCATGGTAAAATTAATACCTTCTCAGCTTCGCATCGAAGCTAAAAAATCAAATCACACGTATTATTATGTAAAACAGAATATGCAACAAAAATATCTTTTTTTAAATTTGTTTAGGTTTATGTTATATCTAGGTAAAATATCTTTAGCTATTGTTTGTGTTTTCAGATTTCACGGTAATACTTTTTTTTTATTTTAAATGAATTTGCTTTTCAAAAACTAATTATTTATTGTTTATACTTGGAGTTCTAACAATAAAAATCGCATTTTATCAAATCAACATAAAACAAAATTATCAGTCAATTAATTTTTTTTTATGTTTTATTTTTTTAACTTTTTGAAAAACAGATTAAAAAAATTTTATCTTCGATGCAAAGCCTATGAAGATATTACTTTTACAATGATTTATTTTGTTTGTTTTATTTCACTTTTTTTTTAGCTCAATATTTTCAAGGATACGATAAAATATTGCAAATCTAGTTGAAAATATTACCCTCGTTCCCCGTAAATGGAGATAATCCTCAAAAATATTACTATTTTTTTTAATTTAGTAATTTCTGACATTTTTAAAACTATTTTTCTTAAAATTATACAGGGTAAAAGTATGGGAGGTGTAACAGAAGATTTTAGGGTAAGAGTATGAGTGCACCAAGGTTCTGCTTTAAGCCCTCACTTTTTTTCTATTATGATAGATGAAATTATTAGAGAAATACAAGAAAAGGTACCGTGATTCATGTTGTTTGCTGACGATTGAATATTTATAGAAAATAATAGGGAAAGTTACTTAAAGGCTAGAGGTGTGGAAGTCAGCTTTTAAAGGAAATGCATTAAAAATAAGTAGGTATAAGACAGAGTATAAAGAGTACCAGTTTGACAAAAGAGAACACAACGTAGGTGAAATGATAAAATCAGTGATAATAAGCGACGACATGATTGGTAAGATGGAAAGTTTTAAGTATTTAGAATCAATTCTGCAAAAGAACTGACGAAGTATTGATGAGGATATAATACACAGCATTATGTGTGGGTGGTTGAAATAGAATGAAGCATCTGATGTGTTATGTGATAAAAGAATTCCAATGAGGCTGAAAGGTATGTTATATAAGACTGTAGTTAGACCAACCAAAATGTATAGTTTAGAGTATTAGGCGTTTGATAAGAGAATAGTGCATAGATGGATGTGTGGAGTGACTAGAAAAGATAAGATAAGGAAAGAGCATAAGAAGAAGTATAGGTGTAGCATCATTCGTGGATAAGATCAGAGAAAATAGACTTAGATGGTTTGGTCATTTTATGAGGAGAGAGGAATCGGAAGCTGTAAGAACAGTTATGGATATGAATATTGAAGGAAGAAGAGACAGAGGAAGACCAAAACATATGTAGAAGGGTATTATTGAATGCAATATGAGTATGGCTGATAAGTAGATTACGTGGGAGGAGATCATGTCAAGTGGAGTTTGTGATAAGGTTGGCCGACTCAAAATAATCTAGTTTTTTAGTTTTAGTTTTTATCGAGGTGGACATAATGCCCATGCACTCAGACCTGTTGGTCCATTGTGCGCACCTCATACCGAATTGTCTTGATTCGGTTTACCCACCTAAGTGTTATCACGAAAGTGTTAATACATTACCAACTATAAAGTCACCTCTAAAGATGACCAAAGAGTCCTGTCTTTCTGACAAAATTAAGTATCTTTCAGGGTCATAGGTTTTTAATATTTTCTTTTACAGGAAAAGGTTTAATCAAGTAGTTTTAGTGTGGACAAGGCTTCACATTCGCACAGTATGTGAAATGAGACTTCTTATTCTACTCAACACTTTCTACACAATGGTGAATCCGATACCCCCATTACGTAAAGATGTTTAAGCAAGTAACAATGTCCTATCAGTACACCAGTCAAAGTGTTTATTTGATGTCTAGTTATGCTATTAAGATCACCCAGCAGTAAACTGGGGTCTTGATAAACATTTTAGATTGTCTAGTTACTACTAAGTAATTCCAGATTTTCCTGTATTGTTCTCTGCACCAATTCTTGGTTAGCGCTTTGAGCGATTGCTCAGTGAGTCTTACCACCGATTCTGGTCTAACATAGGTGACTCGAAATAATTAGTATAAAGGCGAGGAAAATGAAGAAGAAGGTAACAATTTAAAAAAAAAATTTTATAATTTCTTTGTAAGAATTACCATATTGTATTATTAAATATCAATTTCATACTAAAATTATTTACCAAAAAAAGTATTATACATTTTTTTATATTTATAAATAATAAAACTTGTAATCAGTATATAATTAAGGAAATGGGAGTTGATGATACTTTTAGAATAATTTAACGATATTTTCTAAAATTAAAGACTATTTAGAGATTTGGATTGAAACGTCTTTTTCGATAGCAATTGTATCACTATTTCTACTTTTTTCCCAATTAAGTCATATGTGTTGGGTTTATTTTTATTTTAAATTTTTTGTGTTAACAACAAAAATTATATTGAACTTTTATGTTATTTTACTATAAAAATTTCCCTGTTATTTTTTTAATATTGAATTTTTAGGTTATATTAAAAGCATATTTTTTATTGTTCAAAACTTTAAAAAAAAATTAAAATTGATTTTTTTTTTTAATTTCATAGTAATTGTTTTTAGAGCTTTTTTTTCAAAANAGTCATTTTCACCATGAAGACAAGTCCAGAGGTCAAATTTTTTTTTTTCAAATTAAAGTATATTACATAATCTTTAATTTAAGATATATATAAAAGTGTCAGTCTTTCCGGAACATTTTCAAAAGTTAAGTTGAAAAAGTTAATTTTTTGTAAAAAAGTTACCATTTTGAAACCCTTTCTGTGGGCTGGTAAAGGGGATAATGTTCACAAACATATATAAAATGATAGGTATATGCCTAAGGTATCTATAAAAAAAAATTATAATTATTCGGTTATTTTTAAAAAAGTTATGGCAATTTTAAGTAAAAGAAATAGAAAAAATATCGAAAATTAGCTATTTTAAAATCTGTAATTCTTTGGGGGATATCCCCTGTTTACGGGGAACGAGAGAATTTTTTTCAAATTTGAGGGTAATTTCTTCGACTAGATACAATTTATGATCTTTTGACAAATTTTTCATCAAAATTGGTCTAGCGAGAGCTGAGATTGAGCGTATACAGACAAAAAAAAAAAAAATACATCATAGTAAAATTAATACCTTCTCATCTTCGCATCGAAGCTAAAAGAACACAAAATTTAAAATAATTTTTATTATCTTAAAACTGAATATTTGTAAAATCTTTGTAAAAACTTTACAAGAAACTATATAATACAATTCAAAAATAATTGAGCATAACTTATGTTGAATTTATAATTTATTGTTTAAGTTATAACATTATAAATGTGTCAATTAATCATAACACTGTCATGGGTTCACTTGTTTAAAAGAGGGACTTAGTATAGATTTTAATTACTGCCTATAATTCATTTACTGTGTATACTATATATTAGATTTAAATTTATATTTACTTCACATTGTTTTATGTTATGTTATTGTATATATAGTTATCATTATATATTACTCATTATTATTACTATAACTAATTTTTCGTCGATTCACATTGTATTTTAACTTCTACATCTAGAATGAAAAAAATAATATTTTAGAATAAATCACAAAATATGATCAAAATCATTTGACTGCTATTGACACATAATATTTTGTTTAGTCACTACAATTTATTATTAAATATTTCATAAAATATGAAAATATTATTTTTATTTATAATATTAAAATCTAAACAAATTTAGTATAAACTAGAACATTAAAAAAACATAATATAACATTCATTCATCCCCTAAAGGACCAATTTTGTTAACGTCAATGTGTTCGGTATGGTCAAAATTATCTCCTTTGTCATCAACATTGTCATGAACATTATTACTATCTACAATTTTATTCTTTAACAGGTCTAAAACTCCATTCCAATCATTAGGTGTTTCTTCCTCGTTTATTATCTTTTGCTTATAATCTGTTTCTTGTACCATCCTTAATGTCCAAGGAATATTATCATTCACAACTTTGATACAAGAAATTAAAAATATTGTTGTTGCAATTGATTGTTCAGAATTATGTAATAGCCATGGTGTAAATCGCATTGATCGACATTTTAATATTCGAGTTCTGTTGTATGCAAGATATGTTTGATGTATATCATAATAATTGGAAAAGCATAACTTCATGAGAAATGGATACTTAGACTCTTAAACAAAAATATATACATAATATATTAGGGTGGTCGCTATTTTTTAAGTTTAAAATTTGAGGAGCGCCTGGCGTAAATTTGTTCTTTTATGTCTAAGGATAATCTCTAAAAAATTTGAACTTTATACTACTTGATTAACTGGGTGCACATAAAACTGAAAGTTTTGGAAAAATATGAAAAATTTCGTCACATGATAAAATAAGCTATTTAAGCTAAGTCAAATTTAAAAGTTACTTCTTCGACTTTAAAATAGCAAAAAAATTTAAATAAGTTTAATTTCTTATGTCTTATATATCTTATTCTGNAATGTTAATAAGTATAATATCATATGTCTTATGAACTTTATTCTATGTCAATGAAATTATATAATATTCATGAAAGTCAGTTTATTCCCCTAATAAAATATTTTAAAATAAAATAAAATACAAAACCTAGAATTTTAATAAAAAATAGCATATTTTTAAATACGGTAGCCTTTTGCGCATAGAAGATAGGTCGTCGGGACAAATTTTTTTTTTTCATTTAGTAGTACATAAAATAAGCTTTAATTTGATATATGTTTAAAGGACGCAGTATTTCCGGAACATTTTCAAAAATTAAGTTGAAAAAGTTAGTTTTTGTAAAAAAGTTGCTATTTTAAATCCCCCCTGTGAGCAGAATAAGTGTTAGATTTTCAAAAAAAAATGATATCAAATGAAAGAAAATTACCTAAGGTTTCAATATAAAGAAATATTATTTTGATTAGTTAATATTTGAAAAAGTTATGGCAGTTTTAAGTACAAAAAACATCGTTATAAAAGGTGATTTTTATCGCAAATATTACATTTTTTTTATAATTTCGACAGCCATTTGCACATAGAAGATAAGGTGTCGGGACAAATTTTTTTTTTTCATTTTATAGTACATAAAAAAAGCTTTAATTTGATATATGTTTAAAGGACGCAGTATTTCCGGAACATTTTCAAAAGTTCAGTTGAAAAAGTTCTATTTTTTATACAATGTTTCAAAGTTTGAACCCCCCCTATATAAGGGGAAATTGTCTAATTTTAATAAAAAGTATGTCAAATGGAAGATGTACTTATAATGTATTTAGAAAAAAAAAAATTGTGCTGATACATGCATTTTTCGAAAAGTTATAGCATTTTTAAGTTGAAAATTAAAAATTGAAAATCGAAAATTTTAACACAAAAATAGTGTTTTTTTAACTACGGCAGCCATTTGCGCATAGAAGATAGGTCGTCGGGACAAATTTTTTTTTTTAATTTTATAGTACATGACATAAGCTTTAATTTGATATATGTTTAAAAGACGCACTATTTCCGGAACATTTTCAAAAGTTCAGTTGAAAAAGTTCTATTTTTTATACAATGTTTCAAGTTTTGAACGCCCCCTATATATGGGGAAATTATCCAATTTAAATAAAAAGTATGTCAAATAAAAGATGTACTTATAATGTATTTAGAAAAAAAAATTTGTGGTGATAATTACATTTTTCGAAAAGTTATAGCACTTTTAAGTTGAAAATTAAAAATCGGNTCGAAAAGTTATAGCATTTTTAAGTTGAAAATTAAAAATTGAAAATCGAAAATTTTAACACAAAAATAGTGTTTTTTTAACTACGGCAACCGTTTACATGCAGAAGATAAAGTGTCGGGACAAATTTTTTTTTTTCATTTTATAGTACATAAAATAAGCTTTAATTTGATATATGTTTAAAGGACGCAGTATTTCCGGAACATTTTCAAAAATTAAGTTGAAAAAGTTAGTTTTTGTAAAAAAGTTGATATTTTAAATGCCCCCCAGTGAGCAGGTTAAGTGTTCAATTTAAAAAAAATGACATTAAATGAAAGGTAAATATCTAAGGTTGTAGTATTNAAATTATATCAAATGAAAGGAAAATATCTAAGGTTTTAGTTTAAAAAAAAATTATGTTGATTTGTTTATTTTTCAAAAAGTTATGAAAGTTTTAAGAAAAAAAAGTGAAAAAAATGACAAAATTTACCGATTTTTAATTTTTAANTTGAAAAAGTTATGGAAGTTTTAAGAAAAAAAAGTGAAAAAAATGACAAAATTTGTCGATTTTTAAATTTGTAATTTTTTTGGATATTTCCCCCATTTGCGGGGAACGAGGGAAAATTTTTAAATTTTTAAGGGTAATGTCTTCAACTAGATACAATTTGTGATCTTTTGACGTATTGTTAAAAGAAATCGGTCCAGTGAGAGCTGAGAAAAAGTAGTGACAGACACAAAAAAAAAAAAAAATAAACACATCATGGTAAAATATATACCTTCTCAGCTTCGCATCGAAGCTAAAATTAACACATCATGGTAAAATTAATACCTTCTCAGCTTCGCATCAAAGCTAAAGTGATTTAATGTAAATCATTTGATTATTTAATAAACTAAACAATATCTAAAATCCCAGATAATTGCCTACCATCTAATGAAGGAGTACTTGGAATTTTTTAAAATTTATTTCGTTTTGAAAAAAAATTGTTTTTTTTCCACAAGTTGCTTGTTAAATTTAATTTAAGTTACAATTATATGGAATAAACCTAAAATACCAACTACTCACAAAGATAATGTTTTAGATAAGTTTAACAAGCTTAATAATCAGGGGCTAATTTACGTAAACATAATAATATAATAACGACATTACATCGTCAACAAGAATTGTGTTTCATATTGATCAATCTTTTTGATATCGCTGATGCGAGTGCTTTAAAAATATTACGTTTAATGAAGTTCGATTGCTTTTATTGACTGAGCGAGAACGAGAAAGACTTGGATTTATGTCTACTGTTGACTTAGTTGGTTCACAAAGCAAACAATAGAAAAATTAACGTGAAGACAAACCACGATTGTAAAAAGAATTAATGACCAAGAAAATGTCAACAACTTATATTTTGTTTGATATGAAGATACTATTATGAGTTAAAACAGTTCAAATTTCAATTGTTTTAGGATAAATTAAAAATTTAAATTAAATTAAATTTCAACTTTTGTTTTTGAAAATCATATTTTAGTGCTATAGTACTTAAAATAAAAGGGTAGGGCAACATTTTTCAAAAGAAAAAATAATAATTTTCGTTCTACATTTAACAACCCTAATATATTTATATACATGTTATACATGAATAGTTTTTCTCTATCTTTAGATTCTATGAAAAATTATATTTATGTCACAACTTAAGCCAAAGAAAAACTTTTTTTCAATTTAAATTTTAAAAAATTTCAAGCATACACACTTCAAAATGTGTAAGAATAGTGATTTTAATCATTGTAAGATCTCAATCTATGGCGGTTCTACCTATAAGCTATACTAGATACTGCACAAGATTTTTTAAGTTTAAGTTACTTGATGATTTTATTAATAAATGGTTTGACTTTAAAACGGCCTTTACTGCGTTTGAGATGTCTTTAAATTCTATTAAGCCAGTTGAACATTTTACTTTATGGCTTTTAGGCACTAAAAATAAAAAAAATAAATTACATATGAATTATAGAATAATATTCGATAACATACAAATTGTTATAGAAACTATTGAATTAATGTTTTCCAAATGTTTTGATATAGTTTTATGTACGTCCAATCCGGTAATGTCTGTTGGAGCGTTAAAAAAATGAAGTATCTATAAAATATTCATAAATTACTTTAAAGAAATCAACATTATACACCCAACATGTAAAGTATATCTAAAAATGATACTTTAAAACTACGAAACATTTTAATTATCTTAAATTATTAAATTTATATAGGTATTTTAAAAACTGAGCCCAATGGTGATCTATAACACAAAATAAAAATGGGCCTGTTAGAGCATTTTAACAAATTTTTGTAATATACAACAGTATTATACACTATTATGATACAAATTTTATTTATGAATTAGTAAATTAAATATTTACTCATTTCATAGTTTTCAATTCAAATGTCATTTAGAACTAGCCAATAAGAATTATGATATAAAACAAAAAAATCAATACAGAAATATAATTAATTTTATAGTTTAATATAAAATTAAAAACAAAATTTGTATTACATTAAAATATATTTTATTTTCTATAAATAATACTGTCTTATATAAACTCAATCTAATATATTTTGATAGACCTACGCTTAGTCCCTAAAATATTATATAGTATAGAAAAAAATAAATTACTTTAGATGGCGCTGTTGGTCTTCGTTTATTGTTTTGGGAAACTTTGGAAAACCTATTTAGTTTACTTGTCGAATAAATTTTATAAGCATATGTTCCATCAGACAATTTGTTTGCCATATTCTCATTATAAATTGAGTAATGCTTTGAATATCTAAAAATATCAAAAAAATTAAGTTAATTATATTGATTATCGTTATAATTATCTATATATATTATTCAGTATTTTTATAATAAATGAAGAATCTTTATTTAGTATACTAAATTTTATTATGATATATTTTTGTACTATTCACAAATAAATGTTAGCTGACACTTACTTGACCTCAATTTTCTTAGTGTGTCCTATTGGAGTTTTATGTAAATTATCTATACAACGATTAGCCTCTTCTAATGTGTTCATTTCTACTAATACCATTTTATTCTTTAAAATTTTAACTTTCATTACATTTCCATACAAACAAAATAAATTAAAAATCATATCACAATTGATTGTTAAATGCTCAAATCCATAAACCACGAGTATTTTGTTAAGATTTTTATTGAACGATGTTGACAAATAATGGTGAAATGTTTCATTTGACTGTTCAAAGCTTCTAGATTTTACTTTAAAGTTCTCGTTACAGAAATAATTCATCTCACAGTTTCTTAAAGATTATTTAAATCATATTTTAAAAAATGCGGTAAAAGTATATTTTAATTGAATTTTGCTTTAAAACAAAAATTACATTTTATTTGAAATGAATTTTAATATTATAACTTACTGCTAATTAGAAGACCTGTAATTTTTTCGATATTCGTCTACTTAATATTTAACCCAATCATCAATATAATTAATTATTTCCTAAAATGATTATTTGATACAGGACTTATTTTCTAAATACTATATATTTTCAATTTAAGCAATTAGTTTTTTTATTTTATTTATTAACTCACTTGACATTTGTACTAGTTAATTTATTGAAAGGAAAGATTTTTGTTACAATAATCACTATTAAAAATAAAATATCTTGATTTAATTTTAGTCTTGTTTTTTTTACTTTTCAACGTTGCTATAACGAATTTATTTTCTATCTAAAGTTTTGCTTTTATATATAATCAATATGGAAAATACAGTTATCTTTTCTCTAATTCTTATGAAAGACTTGATATACAAATAAAGAGTCAAACGTGAAAGTATCTTTACGATAGGTAGAGGGTGTTATGGTGGGTTTTTTAATGGTGAAATATATTCTTTATTAAACGAAACACATTGCACTATAATTAAATTCTTAATAATCTAAGAATTTAAAGATATTTTTGATGTAGACATATAATAATGAACTTTTAATTGCTAATTCTAATGGTTCTTCCATTAATTATAATAATATTTCAAACTCAGCAGAGTGTAATGCATAACCATATGACTCGGAAAAAAAATTGCTAACAATAACAAGGCCATTTAAACCTATCACATATTTTAAGTTGAATAAATAGGTTTGAAAAGATATGTTGGGACATTTATGTCTTATCTTGGTATAGGTTGTCACTCTGTATATGGATAAAACTCAAAGATTTGCAACAATAACATATATTTTACCTCTATCATAACGACTATATAGGTGTTCAGTAAGTATGGAAACGGGTTTCTATTGTTCTCAATGTTTGTATCAATTTACCTATTTCCTTATTTACTGAATATACTGTATATAATAGCATGGATCGCAAACAACTAGACAAGGTGTCAAACCTATTAGATATTGGTTAAATATTTTATTTTTATTTTTTTAATTAGACTCATGTTTGGAAGTAAAATATGATGTGTTCAATTATTAGACACACACAAAACATTTAAAAAACAAGTAAAATAAAATGTTTACATGCTAAAATCTATTTTATTGAAATAACACAGCAAGAAAATATTTTGATTTTAGAATTTTTTAATAGGGAAAATTTTTTTTTGTTACATTCTTGACTAAGTATCAGATTTGAGTACATTTCTAGCTTTTTTCGAGCCGTCTGCAAAAGTGTTTCCTACATTGTACTTGTATCCAGGTATATGACCAGCGTAATTTTTTATTATACCTTGCTCATATGGTATCATTCGAAATGGAATCCTTGTCATATCTTTGTTTGGATCGTCAACTATAATTGATGTATTTTTATCAGGTTCAGCGTTAAATACTGCTAGGTTATTTTTATGAACCTTTTCCCTCATCAGTCGGTTGTACCGAGTTGTGAATTCACACAAGGCTTTTTTAACGGCTATCGAATAACTAAGGCCATGATAAATTGGAAGACGAGGCACGTGGCCGCTATATCCAGACATAAATGTTTTATGCACACTAGCGTTATCAATGAAGTATGGCGATCCACTAGGTGGCATTGGCAAATGCTGTCTGTTCTCTTCTATAAATTTTTTTTCGCCACCTGGTACCTTAAATTTGATACGTATACTTTTTTTTTAATAATATATAATGAAATTCAATAAAATGTTCATAATTATTTGTAGTATGTAAAAAGTAAATAGTCTATAGAAAGCTAATTTAATTATAACTATTTAATGAAATATAATTTTACGTACAATTATCAAGTAAATTATACTTTTTCGTACTAAAATTATCAAGTAGCATTATTGTAGTAATCACAACTAGTTAAAAATAATTACTAGAGGAAAATGGTTTTAGCTTCAATGCGAAGCTGAGAAGGTATATATTTTACCATGATGTGTTTATTTTTTTTTATTTATTTTTTTTTTTGTGTCTGTTGCCACTTTTTCTCAGCTCTCACTGGACCGATTTCTTTCAAAAATACGTCAAAAGATCACAAATCGTATCTAGTTGAAGACATTACCCTTAAAAATTGAAAAAAATTCCCTCGTTCCCCGCAAATGGGGGAAATATCCAAAAAAATTACAAATTTA